CCCTTGGACACTTCCAGGGATTGCCCAATTTCCCTGGGCAAAAGAAACCTACTTCCACATAGAAATAATAAAGTTGTTATAAATAATTATTATCTATATAAAATTATAATATCTAAAAAGCAATTGTTGCCAATAAAATCGGCTTCATGCAGCTTTTTTAATCTCCTAAAAGCGTGAAAAATAGCAGAGTAAGAGTGTGTGTGTCAGCTGGAAAGAGTTTCTGTCTCATCACAGCCCCCCTGATCTGTGCAGCTCTTGGCACTGGAATACTGGGGGAATAAAAAATTCCAAACATTTAAAATACATTTGGTCTTTCTCAAGTCTTTTTACTTCTCCCTGCCTTTGTTTGCCTTGTTTAGGAAAACCAGCTGGTGTTAATTGCACTTCATGCACCACCAGCATGAACAGCAGCCAGATATCAGGAATTGGAGCCTGATCCCAGGAATCCACTCAATTGTTTGGGGGAAAAAAATTACATTATCACTCTTCAGAACAGCAGTAAAATGAGGGAGCAAAAGAAAAGGCAGGAAAGAGGCTGGTGGGGGGAAAGTGGGATAAAAATAAATTACAATCACAGAAAGAGAAAAGGAGATGTTAGAGGATGGAATTCCCAGAGCAGCTGTGGCTGCCCCTGGATCCCTGGAATGTCCAAGACAAGGCTGGACAGTGGGGCTTGGATCCACCTGGGATAGTGGGAGGTGTCCCTGCCATGGATGGGGTGGGATTGGGATTTGGGATCTGTTCCAACCCAAACACCTTTCCCAGCCTTATTTCAAGTGATTCCTTCACCTGAGTCATGCACAGGAGAAGGGATGAAATCCTGGACCTGGCACAGCTCTGTGCTCTGACTTGGGTTGGGATGGGAGTAGTTGGAGAGAAAAGGAAATGTGGGGAGAAAAATGTGGAATAAAAGAATATTGGTCCCTCCCCAAATTCACCCTGTAGGGCTGGAAATCAGGAGCTGTGGTTGCAGCAATTCCTGTCTCTCTAAAAAGGGAAGAAATCAGGATATTGCAAAGATTTCCCATTTAAGTGCAGGACAACAAGGCCAACCCAGCCCTGATGGAGCAGTGTGCTTGTCCCTGCTGTGAGGACCCCGAGGGTGAGGCACAGCACAGATCCACTGCTCTGTCCTCTCTGGGCTTCTCCAGGCCCTTTTCCACCTGCACACAGGTGGAAACACAGGGACACACAGGTCTGCCCCTCATGACTGAGCCCACATCCCAAAGCCTCCCTGCTGGGCAGGGCTTTCTCCAGGCTGGTGGGAGCTGGGAGAGCTTTCAGGACACAGCATTCCAGAACTTCAGCAGTGTTCCCACTGGGATGTCTGTGGGGACACAGAAACCTCACTGCACACCCCCTGTGCCGTCCCTGCTCTGCTGGGAAGGTTTTCTTCCAGCATCAGAGAGGAGAAGAACCTTCAAAGGCTGCTGCCTTTCACGTGGAGAAAACCTCCTCCCAACATCAGGAAAAAACACCTGTGAGGGCTGCTGCTCTTTGTGCTCTGTGCGGAGGGAAACCTCCCAACATCCAGAAGGAGAAGAACCTCTAAAGAAGAACCTCACATGCTGCTCTTCATGCTCCATGTGGAGGAAAACCTCCTTCCAACATCAGGAAGGAGAAGAACCTGTGGAGGTTTTTGCCCTTTGTGCTCTATGTGGAGGAAAAGCTCCAAACATCCAGAAGGAGAACCTCTAAAGGCTGCTGCCCTTCATATTTCACATGGAAGAAAAACTCCTTCCAACATCAGGATAGAAGAAGAACCCCAGAAGGTTTTTGCCCTTCAGCTCCAAGTGGAAGAAAACATCCTTCCAACATCAGGAAGGAGAAGAACCCATGAAAGTTGCTGCTCTTCATGCTCCACATGGGGAAAAATATTTCAGCATCCAGAAGAAGGACCTCTAAAGGCTGCTGCCCTTCATGGTCCATGTGGAGGAAAAGCTCCTTCCAACATCAGGACAGAAGAGCCCCTAAAGGTTTTTGCCCTTCATATTTCACATGGAGGAAAACCTCCTTCCAACATCAGGAAGGAGAAGAACCTGTGAAGGTTTTTTGCCCTTCATGCTCCATGTGGAGGAAAAACATCCAACATCCACAAGGAGGACCTTTAAAGGCTGCTGCACTTCGTATTTCATGTGGAGGAAAATGTCCTTCCAACATCAGGATAGAAGAACCCCTAAAGGTTTTTGCCCTTCATGCTCCATGTGGAAAAAAACATCCCAAAATCCAAAAGGAGAAGAACCTCTAAAGGCTGCTGCCCTTCATGGTCCATGTGGAGGAAAAGCTCCCAACATCCAGAAGGAGAACCTTTAAAGGCTGATGCCCTTCAAATATCATATGGAGGAAAACCTCCTTCCAACATCAGGATGGAAGAAGAACCCCAGAAGGATTTTGCTCTTCATGCTCTATGGAGGAAAACGTCCCAACATCAGAAAGGAGAACCTTTAAAGGCTGCTGCCCTTTATATTTCATGTGGAGGAAAAGTTCCCAACATCAGGAAGGAGAAGAACCTGTGAAGGATTTTGCCCTTCATGTTCCACATGGAGGAAAATCTTCCAACATCCAAAAAGAGAAGAACCTCTAAAGGCTGCTGCCCTTCATATTTCATGTAGAGGAAAACCTCCTTCCAACATCAGGATAGAAGAATCCCTGAAGGTTTTTGCCCTTCATATTTCACATGGAGGAAAACCTCCTTCCAACATCAGGAAGGAGAAGAACCCCTGAAGGTTTTTGCCCTTCCTGCTCCACGGGGAGGAAAACATCCCAACATCTAAAAGCGGAACCCCTTAAGGTTTTTGCCCTTCAGCTCCACATGGAAGAAAATATCAGGAAGCAGAACCCCTGAAGGTTTTTGCCCTTCATGCTCCACGTGGAGGACAACATCCCAACATGAGGGAGAAGAACCCCTGAAGGTTTTTGCCCTTCTCCACCCCAGACCATCCACAGCCCCATGGAAAGCTCCTGCCTGTCCCTGGGGCACTGTTCTGACCCCCTGAGCACCCAGCTCTGAGCCAGCACTGTTCCACACACCCAGGGCATCCCGGTGGGTTGCCAGCCTGGGGGACAGGGTGGCACTGCCCAGGAGGCAGCAGCTCCCCCCTGCAGGGAGATCTCTGCTTGCACCAGGCTGAAACTCCCCAGTTTCATTCCCTGGGGAATAAAATCTCAGGGAGCTTCCCACACCTCTTTGCACAGGGGTGTTTCCCAGAGCACCCCAAGGTCCCTTCTGCCCTCTGGAGCTGCCCTGCAGGCTCTGAGCAGCCCAAGGAATTCCAGCTCCCCAAGCCCTGCACCAGCCCTGCAGCACGGACACCTCCACACCCACGGGGTCCTTACCAAAGCCTCCCAGCTGCTCGGGGGACAAAGCTCTGCCAAGATCCTTGTCCGTGTGTCCTGCCCCTCTAATCTGCCCCTGTTCCAAGAGGGAGAGGAGCATTAATGCCAAAACCACGGGATCAGCAGCACCACAACGTGCTGAGGCTGGAAGGGGGGTGAGAGGGGCAGCAGCACGTCCAGCTGGGGACTGTCACCTCAGGGACACACAGGGTGACATAAATGCTGGCCTCAGCACTGAGGAACTCAGGGAAACTATTCCATGCTTCCCCTGGAAGCTGTGGATGGAAAACCAAAGCATTGAGGTTGTTAGGATGGGGATTAGGGTTAAAACTGAGCTGGAAAAGTGAGCACAGCTCCTGGGTGAGGAGGTGGGAGCTCAGGTGAGCCAGGGTGTGAGCCCAGGTGAGCCAGGCTGGGTTGTGAGCAGGAAGGGACAGCAGAGGGGACAGGAGCAGCAGTGCCCAGCACACAGACTGAGAGATGGCAAACCATCCAGCACAGGGGTACCCCATACAATGGAGTTTTCCCTCACAACTTCGAGGCAATTCAACAACTCCTCCCCCTCTGGAAAATGGTCTGGCAGCTGCACAAGGAGCAAATTCTCTGCGACCTGAAAAAATGGGGAAATGTCTTGGCCAGAGGGAAAAATACCAAGTGCTGTGGGATCTGTAATGCTCCAAAGGAAAAGCCCCAACCACTCAGTTTGGGGCTGAAACCCCAGTGTAAGGAATAACTTTGCCAAGTTGCTCCTCCAAACTGTTCCTGCCCCTGATGTCAACCTGTGCTCCTGGAATGCATTAAAAGCCATAAGATTTGATTTTAGGAATGCTAAAAGCTCCTCTCACAGATTATTTCACCCAGAACTGGAGAGGAGACCCCAGAGCTGCTCCAGGGCTGGAGCCAGGCTGGGAGAGCTGGGAATGCTCCCCTGGAGAAGGGAAAATTCCAGGGAATCCTAAATGTCCCTGCAGGGGCTCCAGGAGAGCTGCAGAGGGGCTGGGGACAAGGCCTGCAGGGACAGGAGCCAGGGAATGGCTCCCACTGGGAAAGGGGAGATTGGGCTGGGATCTTGGCAAGGAATTCCTGCCTGGGCTGGAATTCCCAGAGCAGCTGGGGCTGCCCCTGGATCCCTGGCAGTGCCCAAGGCCAGGATGGACACTGGGAGCAGCCTGGGACAGTGGGAGGTGTCCCTGCCATGGCAGGGTGGCACTGGGTGGGATTTGAGGTCCCTTCCCACCCAAACCATTCCAGAGTTCCACGCTGTGACCTGAACTCCAGCTCCAGCTAGAAACACGTCCACAGGGGAAGATGTAATTCCATCCCCAGTGGAACATTCCAGAACTCTGCCTCTCCTCTCCTGCCACCCAGGGCCCTGCAGCCTCGAGGTCTCTAAATTAGCCTGGTTAATTAATTCCCCACCAATTAATGCATGAGAGAGAGTGGGAGTTCACAGAGCAGCCAAGGCACAGCGCAGGAGGGGCTGGATTCTGGTTCTGCTGCAAAGCTCGGGCATGCAGGGCCAGCCACACCCCAGGTGACAGCATTTTCTGGTTATCAAAATGGAGTTAAGTCAATTAAAAGACATCAACATGCTCAGCAATCCAAAAAACATCTCCTAAGCAGCTCCTTAGTCATGAAATCCAGAGATATAAAGAGTTACCCACTGCTATTGAGACAGCACTTATGACAGCTCCCAAGTAGCCCTGGATGAACTTGGATGTCGGAGAAGGCTTTGGAAAGAAAAACAAAACATATTTTCAATAAACAAACTTCTGGTTATTAATATTCAACCCTTTTTTCCCCCCTTTTTTTTTTTGTTTGTTTGTTTTGGTTTTGGTGTATTTGTTTCAGAGCAGAGACAGGTTTAATTTTGTCATATTGTTCTGTGACACATGGGCTGTCATCCCAAGAGGCAAAAGTGAGGAAATCATGGCCTCCTGAGCAAGGTTACAGGGAATGGAAAATTAATTGGCATCAGAAAATTATAATAATAGCAGCTCAAAGGAAGGATGTGAGTGAAATTCAGCAAATGGTACCAAATTAGCATTCCCACCCTGGAGTGCTGAACCCCAAACTCGCCACAGTCAATATTTCATCTGTGAAATGTTCTCTCAGTGAGCTGGATGGATTCCAGCTCAGCTTCCCACATCCCAACACGGGATGAATGGAGGCTGAGGAGAAGGAGGGGACCAGGGACAGCCCAGCAAGGATGGAACAGGGACAGCCCCATTGAGAATGGAGCAGGGACAGCATCACCAAGGATGGAGCAGGGACAGCCCCAGCACTTCCCAGGGACAGCCCCAGCACTTCCCACTGCCACCATCATGAACAAAACCCCTGGGAGATGGGATCATGGAGCTTCCTCCTGCTCCCCCAACCCAGGCACCATTCTGCTCCTTCAGATCCCAGTTAAACCATTCCAGACCAGTTGGGACCATGGACTGGTTCAGCTCCAAGGCCCTGAGCCTCATTTCTGTGCCTGCAGTGATTCCCAGATCCTTGTGCTGGTTACACTGAGTTTAAACACAGGACAATGGCCAGTCTAGAAATCCCCCAGTGGGCACCCCAGAGGTTTCATGGGCAGGGAAGAGGCAGGATTGGTGTTTCCATGTGGGAATGCCCCAGGGCAGGCCCACAGCTGCCTCATGGCTGTATGTGGGAATTGGTCTGGCTGGGATTCAGAGTCAGCCAGATTTTACCCCAAAAGAACCAGGCATGAGTTTCGAGCCCTGGGAATCATTTGTTTAACTTAGGGTGAGCTTGAGGGTTCCCCCACAAGCCTTTGGTGTTGTTATGCTAAGCTGTCCAAGTCCTGCTCCCCTATTGGTTATGCCCTGTTATGTATCCCCTATATGTTATGGTAAGTTCTGCTCCCCTATTGGTTACTTGTTTCCCCTATATGGTTATATTCCAGAATGTTCCACCCCCAAGTGTATATATTGCTGCTTTCCCTTTGTCTCAGGTATTTGGATCCTGCCCCTCATACTGTGCTCGACTTCTCCACATTTGTTGTTTTTCACTCCATTATTAAAGTTCTTTTTGGGCAACTCCATTGAACCCGCTCCTTTTCATTTTCACCACCCTCAGTCCCTGGAGTCAGGGCCCAGGGAGGTTTGTCAGCCACCCTCACCCCAAAGTCAGGGCCCAGAGAGGTTTGTCATGGCCACCCTCACCCCAAAGTCAGGAACCAGAGAGGTTTGTCAGCCACCCTCACCCCAAAGTCAGGAACCAGAGAGGTTTGTCATGGCCACCCTCACTGCCCTGGAGTCAGGAACCAGAGAAGTTTGTCACAGCCACCCTCACCCCAAAGTCAGGAAGCAGAGAGGTTTGTCATGGCCACCTTCACCCCAAAGTCAGGAACCAGAGAGGTTTGTCATGGCCACCCTCATTGCCCTGAAATCAGGGCCCAGAGAGGTTTGTCAGCTGCCCTCAGTCTGGAGTCAGGGCCCAGGGAGGTTTTTCATGGCCACCCTCACCCTGAAATCAGGAGCCAGGGGTGTTTGTCACCTCTCAGTGACAGCTGGCTCACCTTGCTCGCGTTGCGGTTTGCATAGTTCACACACGCGTTGTGGCTCTGGTTCAACCACTGCAGGACAGAGAGACACAAAATCAGCACAAACCCAACAGAATCTGACCTTCTGGGAGTTCTGAGGGAAATCTCACCTGCCCTTGGACTGCTCCAAGCTCAGCACCTCGCTGGTGCAGGGTCTAGGCCCTTCAAATGGAGGGATGGGAATTCCAAGGTGTACAGTGTCCCAAGGGCAGCTCTGCTTCCCTGGATGGGCAACTCCTCTCCTGGCCCCCTCTCCCTCTCTGCTGTTGGATTTTAATCCCACAGAATCCCAGGATCACTGAGGCTGGAAAATCCCTCCAAGGTCACTAAGCCCAGGCTGTGTCCAATGCCCCCTTGTCCCCAGCCCAGAGCTCTGAGTGCCCTGTCCAGGCCTTCCTTGGACATCTCCAGGGATGGGGTCTCCACCACCACCCTGGGCAGCCCCTTCCAATATCCAATCTCCTTTAACATGAAGAAATTCCTCTTGGTGTCCTGGCCAAACCCATGTACAGTCAGGATGCAGCAGTGTCATTCCAGCAGGCCCTTCCTGAGCTCCAAAGGCTCCCAGGAGGCTTCTGAGGAGCAGGAGACGAGCAGATGGCCCAGCTTATGGACACACATGGCATTAAACTGGCTGGAACAGAGCACTTGGGGCTGCCCCTGAATCCCTGGAAGTGTCCAAGGCCAGGCTGGACAGGGCTTGGAGCACCCTGGGATGGTGGGAGGCGTCCCTGCCCACCTGGGGTGGAATGGGATGGGATTTACTGTCCCTTCCCACCCAAAGCAGCCTGGGATTCCATCCCAGATGTCCCTAAACAGGGCAGGTGAGTGGCCTTCACAGCCCTGAGTGACCCAGGATGTCCCCTCCACTCCTCCTGTGGGACAGCTCCCAGCCAAACCCAGCAGACCGCAGACTCCTGGCTCGGCTGTCCCGCTGTGCTCCCAGCAGATCCCGCTCTGTTCTGAGCCTTCCTGGCTGCACAGCTCCATCCCCACTCTCAGTGCAGACAATAAAAAGACATTTGCCACAGAAAGGAGGCTGAAAATAACTCGTTCCTTCGTTTCAGCTGGCGACGGAATCACACTCGTGGTGTGTTTACTATGGAGCTCTCCTTCCCGTGCCTGCTTCCTCCCCTTACTCTTAATTCCCAGAATCTGAATGGGAAATCACACCAGCACCTCCCTACACACAGATTGTTTTCCCCCAGAGTTCCTGGAGCAGACTCAGTGCAGGAGTCCTGGGCTTGGCCATGGACTATTCCCAAAATTCCCAGCAACAGGGCCTCCCATCATCCCCAGCCCTTCCAACATCATTCCCCAAGGAAAATCCCAACTCCCTGTCCTCCCAAAGGCAGATGGGTGAGTTTAGGGCCAGCACCTCCATGGATGTGCACATGACAAAACCATTTACACCCGGACAAAATGGCTCCAAAAATCCAATTTTAGCTTCTGGCCTGCTCTGCCTCTTCCTTCCCATAGCACAGGGAGGTGTGGGATGAAAAAGGGGAGCCCAGATTTGTTTCCAGCCCCTTGCAGGCCTTTCCCTGAATGGATCCAGGCACATCCTGTCCCTACAGCACAGCCAGGAGGGACAGCCACAGCAGCAGTCTGTCCTCTGGGCAAAACCCAGCTCTTCCTCCTGTCCTGGGATGTAAGATATGTGTGTATTTTACTGCCACCTGTCAGAGCTGGGGCAGGTATCTGCTGCTCATGGGGCAGTTTTCTTTATCTCTTCCACAACCAATCCTCCCTCCAGGAGGTCTCTTCTGTTCATGGACCATTAATTATTAATTATCTGCTGTTCATGGGCCATTGATTATTAGTTATCTTCTGTTAATGGGCCAGTGAGTGTCCCTGCAGGGCTGATCCAATTCCATCATCCCATGGGGAGATGCTGCATTGCCCAGGGGAGGAGCCAAGCATTCCTACCTGGATCCAATCTGAGGTTTGGGACAGCCCAGCAGCCTTTGCCCAGTGCATTGCCAGAGGAGCAGCTTCTGCTGCCCTGCATGGCCAGAGGGAGCCCAGGCCCATCTGCAGCAGCCCTGGAGCTGCAGAGGAAAACTCCCCCCTTGTGCAGGATCCCTGCTCCAGCAGAGCCACAGCTGGCACTGCAGGAGGGCTGAGCCCCCATGGGATGGGGCTGTGCCACCCCCTGACACACAGGGGACAGGGCATGCTCTGACTCTGGCAGGGGTTTGTTTGTACCACTGCATTTGTATTTTTAAATTTTCCCTAATAAAGAACTGTTCTTCCTATTCCCACATCTTCGCCTGAGAGCCCCTTAATTTCAAAATCATAATAATTCACAAGGAGGGGATTTACATTTTCCATTTCAAGGGAGGCTTTTGCCTTCCTCAGCAGACACCTGGCTGTTCAAACCAAGACATCTCCCCACATTCCCACCCTTCCAAGGATCTCACCTGCCAAAACACAGTGGAGGCCAGGGTCTGGTTGGGCAAGAGGAGACCAACAACCTGCAAGAGGAGAGATTCTCTCATTATTAAAGCATCCCTGCTTTGCTCTCCGTGCTTCTCCAGGCGTGCAAACAGCCAAGCTGATTTCCAGGGACTTGAATAAATTATCCTCATTTCTGGCTTTATTTCATTCCTGTTATTTTTGTCATCCCAGTCATTATCAGCCTCCTGTCTCTCCGTCTTCCAGGGGTGGAACTGGCTGTTGTCACTGCCCCTGAAAGCTCTGCACCTTTAATTATCATAATTAATAATCACCTGCTCGTGATACACCCTGAAAATCCCCTGGCAGCTGGCACTGCCCAAAGACCCCATGAAAACCCAAACAATTCCCTAATCCAGGTGTTTCTGGAGGGAAACACAAACCTTGCAAGGAGGCAAGAACTCAAAGCTGCCACTACTGGCAGTGAACAGGGGGTCCTCATTTTCCTTTGGCATATTCCTCTTTGGGGCACCAGGAGAAAATCCCACTGGAATCTGAGGACAGCAGAGCCACCTAGGAGCACTTTACTCCTGTTTGGGAGCCTGGGTTTTATTTTCATTAAATTTTAATTAATTAATCTTTTTTGATGTGTCACTGCTGTCCCCCCGAGGCTCGGGGCAGCCCAGCCCAGCACATCTGGCCAGATGTTCCCTGCTGGGGCTTGCACTGGGACACCAGGGGCTCTGCAAGGTCACTCCTGGCAGCACCTGGGGCCACACAGGTGTGTCCAGGGCCTGAGGGTGTCCTTGGGCCGTGTCTGACAGCACCACAGGGACACAGCTCTGCAAGTCCCATCCCTGACACACCAAATACCTGCCTCAGGGCCAGCCTTCCTGGTTTAAGCCAGTTTTTTTCTTGTTTTAGGGCCATTTTTCCTGCTTTCAGGCAGCTTTTCTTTTCTTAGGACCATCTTTCCTGCTTTAGGGACATTTTTCCTGCTATAGAGCCATTTTTCTTATTTTAGGCACATTTTTTACCAGTTGAAGGCAACTTTTCCCTCTTTTAGGGTCATTTTTCCTGGTTTAAGCCAGTTTTTTTTCTTGGCTTTAGGGCCATGTTTTCTGCTTTCAGGCAGTTCTCCTTGTTTTAGGGCCATTTTTCGTGCTTTAAGGCAGTTTTCCTTTTCTTAGGACCATCTTTACTGCTTCGGGGACATTTTTCCTGCTATAGAGCCATTTTTCTTGTTTTAGGGTCATTTTTTTACTGGTTTAGGGCAATTTTTCCTGCTTTAGGGCATTTTTTTCTTGTTTTAGGGCCACATTTCCTGCTTTAGGGCCATTTTTTCCTGGTTTAGGATAATTTTTCTTGTTCTAGAGCCATGTTTCCTGGTTTAAAGCATTTTTCTTGTTTTAGTGCCATGTTTCCTGGTTTAGGCCATCAGAAGCTGAAGACAAAAAAGGATGCAAAGGGGATCCCAAGGACCAGCCCCACAAACACAGCCAGGACAAAGAATTCCCAGCAAGACAAGAGAACCCTGCCATCCTTGCCTCCCTCCCTGTGCCCTGAGCTCCCCACGTTCCTGGAGGTGTTTCCTGCCTGCAAAACCCCACAGAATTCACAGCTTGAGCCACTCTTCAACCCCATCTATTCACCCCAAACGCTGGGAGCTCGTCCCCACCCTCAGACCTTCCCCAGAGCCTCCTCCCAGCTCATTCCCAGGAATTTGGGGAGGGATGGGATGGAGTTCTGTCCTCCCAGGGGTGATGAGCTGGGGCCATCCCCAGGGATGGAGGGAACGTCTCAAACGGCGCCGAACAAAAGGGGGCCGGGGCTTGGGCGGCCTCGTTCCCTTCCCATCCCCTCTCCCTTCTCCTCCTCCTCCTCCAGCTTTTCCTCCCACTCTCGTGGAGTTGCAGGGACTTTGTTCCCTGGCCCGGAGCCAGCTCCCACTAATTTACGGCTCCGTTCCCCCCACGCGGAGCTCGGCATTAATTAACGCGGCCCCAAACGAAGCTCCCCCTAACCCCAAGCCCAACCCCAAGCCCCTGGTGCCCCCCAAACCAGCGGGAGGATGAGGCTGGGGAAGGAACAGGGCCAGGCAGAGGCTGGGGCTGAGCGCCGGGGGGAAAATTCCGGCGGGAAAAATAAATAAATAAAGAAAAAAAAGAGCACCCAAAATCTGTATGACTGAAAGAGGCACGTTTAAATGCAAACTCTCCATATGTGCAAGAGTCTGTCAAGAAATGTACAATTTCACTTTTAATTACTGTCAGGGGAAAAAATAACTAAGAAGGAAAACAAAATATATAAAAAAAAAAAAAAGAAAAAAAAGAGCTCCTAAACACTGGCGAAGTGTCAGCGACAGAATTTAATTGGTGATCAGGTGTGAAGGGCCCTTGGTGGCCCCAAAGCCACCCCATGGACATCAGGGAGCCCTGAGCAGCCCCAGCTCTAACCCCAAATCCTGCCGAAGGTGGGACGGCTGCCTGCAGCCCCAAATTCTCACCTGGGTCCTCAGGGCTTCCCTAAAACCTCACCCAGACACCAGTTTTGGATGGCTGGGGGAAATCAGGTGCTGAAATCTGTGGTGGCAGCAGCAGTCTGCCCTCAAGGCCAAGTTTGAACTGAATTTCCTAAAGGTGGATAAATCTTCCCCCAAAGAGGAAACAGCAGCCTGGGGAAGAGGCTCCAGCCCAACAGCTGCTTTGTAGGGAAAGAATTCCAGGGGCTGGATCCTCTCCCTCCTGGGCTGGGAATGGGGAAAAGGGCAAAGCCAAACCCTGCACAGTCACAGGCAGCCCAGGCTGTCCCCTCTGCTGTGGGGTCAGCCCCAAATCCTGGCTGGAAATGGGGAAAAAAGGGCAAAGCCAAACCCTGCACAGTCACAGGCAGCCCAGGCTGTCCCCTCTGCTGTGGGGTCAGCCCCAAACCCAGGCTGGAATTGGGAAAAGGGCAAAGCCAAACCCTGCACAGTCACACAGAGCCCAGGCTGTCCCTGTGCTGTGGGGTCAGCCCCAAATCCTGGCTGGGAATGGGGAAAAAAGGGCAAAGCCAAACCCTGCACAGTCACAGACAGCCCAGGCTGCCCCTCTGCTGTGGGGTCAGCCCCAAATCTGGGCTGGAATTGGGAAAAGGGCAAAGCCAAACCCTGCACACACACAGAGCCCAGGCTGTCCCCTTTGCTGTGGGGTCGGCCCCAAACCCAGTCTGGAAATGGGAGAATGGGCAAAGCCAAACCCTGCACAGTCACAGACAGCCCAGGCTGTTCCTGTGCTGTGGGGTCACCCCCAAATCTGGGCTGGAATTGGGAAAAGGGCAAAGCCAAACCCTGCACAGTCACACAGAGCCCAGGCTGTCCCCTCTGATGTGGGGTCAGCCCCAAACCCAGGCTGGGAATGTGGAAAGGGCAAAGCCAAACCCTGCACAGTCACAGACAGCCCAGGCTGTCCCTCTGCTGTGGGGTCAGCCCCAAACCCAGGCTGGGAATGTGGAAAGGGCAAAGCCAAACCCTGCACACACACACAGAGCCCAGGCTGTCCCCTCTGCTGTGGGGTCAGCCCCAAACCCAGGCTGGGAATGTGGAAAGGGCAAAGCCAAACCCTGCACAGTCACACAGAGCCCAGGCTGTCCCTGTGCTGTGGGGTCAGCCCCAAATCTGGGCTGGAATTGGGAAAAGGGCAAAGCCAAACCCTGCACAGTCACACACAGCCCAGGCTGCCCCTCTGCTGTGGGGTCAGCCCCAAACCCCAAAGGATGGAGAGGCCAAGCCCAGGGCAGGGCCAGGGGGAGTAGGAACATTGCCGGGATTTGGGATTTGGGATTTGGAGGTGTCAGGGGAGCTGCTGCCAAGCTCCCATTATTCCCCCAAAGCCTTAATCCCCTTCACAATGAGCTGCCCCAGACTGGATTATTCTGCAGGGAAACACCCCGGGGAGGGCCGTGGCCCTAAACTGCTCATCCCCACCCCGCTCACGGCTCGGGGCACCCGCTGACCCCAAATCCCACCTGGGGACAGGCACAAATCCTCCCTGGGGACAAGGACGGCCCAGCCCGAGCCTCTCTTGAGGAAATCCCATCCCCCTTTGTGGAATAGAAGACTCAAACTGTTTTTATGCTGGAGCAGGCTGCCAATTTTGTCACTAAATTTCACAGATCGATTGGCATAAATGTTACATTTTAATTTTAACATTTGAAACGTTTGGGTTTTTTTTTTTTTTTTTTTTTCTAAATGACAAGAGGTTCCAGTTTATCCTTTACAGCTCCTGAAATTGGGCTCATCTGACAGCTCTCGGCTCCTCTGACAGCTCTGGATTGGGGCCGATTTCATTGTCAATTTGATCGTTAACTCGTTTTTGTTTAACCTTTTCTTTTAAAATGCCCCACACAAAGTTCCCACCGAGGCTTTGCCCAGCACAACAAACAGCAGCGGCCCTGCTGAGCCCCTCCTCGGGCAGGGGGGACAGCCCTGAGCCAGGCCTGCAGCACCCCTGCGTTTCAGCAGATTTAATTTCGTCTCTTTTGCTCCTTCGACCATTTTGCTGGACCAGGAAGCTGAAGCAGGAGCTGGTGGCTTTGAGGATAAAGTGCCTCTCGACTCCAATTTTTTTGGGGGCAAGGTGTGCCTCAGTTTCCCACAAAACTGGGCTAAACGAGCCGTTCCTGTTGGGATGAGGTGACAATTCAGCAGGAGGAAAACAGGCAGGATTCTCTCCCTTCTGCCTTTGGCCATGGAGAGCACCCAAACACTCCCCAAATTCCCCAAAACAAGGAGAAATCACCCTCAGGCACTGCCTCAGGAGGTTAATTAACCCAATTTCAGTCAAGGTTATTTATCTGCTATTGAGGTTATTTATCTATCAATATATTGAGGTTATTTTGTATTAAATATCAGGTTATTGATGAATTAACCCAATTCCATTCAAGGTTATTTATCTGCTATTGAGGTTATTTATTTATCAATATATTGAGGTTATTTTGTATTAAATACCAGGTTATTGATGAATTAACCCAACCCCTATTCAAGGTTATTTATGCACTATTGAGGTTATTTATCTATCAATATATTGAGGTTATTTTGTATTAAATACCAGGTTATTGATGAATTAACCCAACCCCTATTCAAGGTTATTTATGCACTATTGGGGTTATTTATCTTTAATATATTGAGGTTATTTTGTATTAAATACCAGGTTATTGATCAATTAACCCAACCTCTGTTTGAGGTTATTTATCTACTATTGAGGTTATTTATTTATTCATATGGAGAGGTTATTTTTTATTATCTATCAGGTTATTATGAATTAACCCAGCCTCTGTTTAATTATCTACTATTGAGGTTATTTATTCATTCATATGGAGAGGTTATTTTGTATTAAATATCAGGCTATTGATGAATTAACCCAGCCTCTATTTGAGGTTATTTATCCATTTAAAATCGTTCCCACAACCTCCTTCAGCACCTTCATCTTTCCCCCTTCCTCTTCATCTTTGGATTAATTAACCTAAACGAGAGCACACAGCACTGCCTGGCCAAGCTGGAGCTCCTCATGTTGGGAAGAGACCCTTAAACCACAGAAATGCAAAATAAAAGTGTCCAAAAATGAAATCTGAGAGTTGCAGGAGCTGCATTTTGCCAGCAATGAGTTCAGCTTTGCAGAGGGAAAGATGAAGGTGCTGAAGGAGGTTGTGGGAACGATTTTAAATGGATAAATAACCTCAAACAGAGATTGGATTAATTAATCAATAACCTGATATTTAATACAAAATAACCTCTCCATATGAATAAATAAATAACCTCAATAGCAGCTAAATAACCTCAAGCAGAGGTTGGATTAGTTCATCAATAACCTGATAGATAACAGATAAATAAACTCTCTATATGAATAAATAAATAGCATCAATAGCAGCTAAATAACCTCAAACAGAAGCTGGGTTAATTCATCAATAACCTGATATTTAATACAAAATAACCTCTCCATATGAATAAACAAATAACCTCAGTAGTGGATAAATAACCTCGAACAGAAGTTGGGTTAGTTCATCAATAACCTGATAAATAACAGATAAATAACCCCAATATATTAAAAGATAAATAACATCAATAGTAGCCAAATAACCTCAAATAGGGGTTGGGTTAATTCATCAATAACCTGATAGATAACAGTTAAATAATCTCAATATATTAAAAAATAAATAACCTCGATAATAGATAAATAACCTTGAACGAGGGTTGGATTAATTCATCAATAACCTCAATTGATATAATGGATAATAATAGATAATAGATAAAAACCTCAACAGATTGATAGAAAAATAACCTCAATAATAAATAACCTCAGAGGTTGTGTTAATTCCTAAATAACCTCATAAATAGTAGATAAATAACCTCAATATATTAATGGATAAATCCCCCTTAATAATAGACAAATACCCTCAACCAGAGGCTGGGTTAATTCATCAGTATTCTCATATAGAATAGATAAACAACCTCAATATATGAACAGATAATTAACCTCAATAGTAGATAAATAGTAGATAAATACCCTCAAATAAAGGGTGGGTTAATTCATCAATAACCCAATAAATAATAGATAAATACCCTCAATACATTAATAGATAAATACCCTATAAACAGAGGTTGGGTTAATTCATCAATAACCCAATAAATAATAGATAAATACCCTCAATACATTAATAGATAAATACCCTTTAAACAGAGGTTGGGTTAATTCATCAATAACCCAATAAATAATAGATAAATACCCTCAATACATTAATAGATAAAGCCCTCAATAACAGATTAAACACCCTCAAGCAGAGGGTGGGATTTCCATGATGGATCCCTTGTTATAGGAAATGGGGAAGGTGGGAATGGCACGAGGTGCTGAGCTGGAGTGTGCAGAATTGTGCTCAGAAATAATTTCCTGGTGCAGAATTGTGCTCAGGGATCATTTCCTGGGGCCCACAACCAAATACTTACAATGGGGGTTCCAAAGGGAATGTAACCTGTGGGGGGAAAAACAAATAAATTAATGAATTTGAATAAATGTCCCCATTTAGGGACTCCTGGCACAACCAGGTGCCCTCACTGCCACCACCCTGGGACATCCTGGAGCTCCACCTGATGCTCCAACCCACAACTGCAGGACCCTCCTGGTTTTCCCATCTTTTAATTTCGCTTTTCAAGCTCTCCCAAGTCTTTTCCTCAAGTTTTATTGAGCACCACAGAAATCAAACGCTTCACATTCCCCCTGCTGTGGCTGCCAATTCCTGTGCTAATTATAATTCATCTCCCTGACTTCCACAGGGAGGTCTCAGAGCCTTTCCCCAATATCACTGACTGCACTTCCTGCATCCAATTTACAGCCAAAAAGGGCAAAGACCTGAGAGGAAGAAAAAACTGGGAGACAAATCCAGGACAAGGCAGCAGAGCAGAGGGTGCTGGCTTCTCCCCCGTTCACCCTCAGCATCATCCCCCAAAGCACTGAGCACAAAGCCTGTTCATTTCCCCTGTGCCCAAACCAGGGGATGTTGCACCCAAAACCATGGGAAAGGTCCTGCTTATTGAAATAAATCTGCTGGAAAAGCACCAGGGCTGCACTGGCATTCCCAGAAAAGCTGCTGGGGACCTGAGCACGGGGGAGGAAACCCCAAAGAGGGTTTTTAATTTAATTTTTAATCATTAAACAGCTCATTAAGGCACAGAGGAGCTGATCCTCCCTGGAATGCCAGTGCTGGGGCTATTGGATATCATAACCCATGGAAAAACAGGAATCAGCCCATTCTTTCCTGGGGAATAAATCCCCCAGCCCCCTCTTCTTCATCCAGTGAGGATGGATCAAGATGCTGACCTGGATTTTACACCCCTGAAGTTGTGGGTGCAAGATTTGCCATTTACTGCAAAGTTAAAATGCTCCCAATAGTGACGGAAAGGAAAGGAAAAAGGAAAAGGGAAAAAAAGGAAAGGGGAAAAAAGGAAAGGGGAAAGGGGAAAGGAAAAGGAAAAAGGAAAAAGGAAACAGGAAAGGAAAAAGGAAAGAGGAAAAAAAAGGAAAGGGGAAAAAAGGAAAAGGGAAAGAAAAAAGGAAAAGAAAAAGGAAAAAGAAAAAGGAAAATGAAAAGGGAAAAGGGAAAAGGAAAAGGGAAAAGGAAAGAGGAAAGGAAAGGGGAAAGGGGAAAGGAAAAAGGATAAGGAAAAAGGAAAAAGGAAACAGGAAAGGAAAAAGGAAAGAGAAAAAAAGGAAAAGGGAAAGGAAAAAGGAAAAGAAAAAGGAAAAAGAAAAAGGAAAATGAAAAGGGAAAAGGGAAAAGGAAAAGGGAAAAGGAAAGAGGAAAGGAAAAAGGAAAGGGAGAAAAAAAGAATGGGGGGAAAAGGGAAAGGGAAAAAAGGAAAGGAAAAAGGAAAAAAGAAAAAGGGAAGAGGGAAAAGGGGAAAGGAAAAGGAAAAGGAAAAGGAAAAGGAAAAGGAAAAGGAAAAGGAAAAGGAAAAGGAAAGGAAAGGAAAGGAAAGGAAAGGAAAGGAAAGGAAAGGAAAGGAAAGGAAAGGAAAGGAAAAAAGAAAATATTAAGCACTAAATCTCACAGTGGAATTTAGGTTCCTCATTTTCCTCGTCTGCAAAGGGATTTTGGTGTTGGAATTCTTTCCTTCATGGTTTAAATGGTGAGCAGATTCAGTTTCCAAAGAGGAGACCCCCACCCCAGTGTTTTATCCAAAGGGCAGGGGAATGGCGGACGCAGCGTACCTGACATGCGGAAAGGCATGAAGATGGTCTCGTTGGTGTCGGGGTGGATGATGGCCTGGAAAAGTGGCACCAGAGAGTCCCACTGAGGGCACAGGGCCCAGCACAGCCACCCCTCAGCTCCAAACACCTCCTGTGACCACGCAGGCCCTGGAATTTCCCCCGCCTGGGACCCTCTTCGCTTTCACCAAAGGCACTTTGGGCTCAGCAGCCCCCACAAAACCCCTCCCCGGCACTGCTCTCCCCTCTCCTGCAGTAATTAATGAAATTAAATTAAATATTTAAATTCATTTTAATCCTTTAGGAGGAAATCATTGACCCTCACATACACAGAGTGGCTTTTGCTTGGCTCTGTGTCCCCAAAGCCACCCCCAGCTGCACCTGAGCCCCAGGAAAGGCAGATTGAGGAGGGAAAAGGAAAATGATTTTCTGTCCCTGCCTGTTCTCAGCACCTCCATTGGGGCTGGAATGTCCTGGGTAGGAAAGGTGGGGAAAGCCTGGCTGTGGCAGAGGGATGGGGAGGATGAGGAGAAAAATCCCTTTAACCTGCAGGGGAAGCAAAGGGGCCACAGGGGAAACCCCAAAACCCCCGAGGCCCAAACACAATTGGGGGATCCAGTTCAGGAGCTTCTCCCCATCTCCAGCTGTGGATCCCATTCCAGAACCTTCTCCCCATCTCCAGGTGTGGATCCCATTCCAGAACCTTCTCCCCATCTCCAGGTGTGGATCCCATTCCAGAACCTTCTCCCCCATCTCTATGTGTGGATCCCATTCCAGAACCTTCTCCCCCATCTCCAGCTGTGGATCCCATTCCAGAACTTTCTCCCCATCTCCAGGTATGGATCCCATTCCAGAACCTTCTCCCCCATCTCTATGTGTGGATCCCATTCCAGAACCTTCTCCCCATCTCCAGCTGTGGATCCCATTCCAGAACCTTCTCCCCCCTGCTCCAGCACCAGCTGGGACACCAACAGGCAGCTCCAGCCCTCTCTGGATGGCCCCACAAGGGACACCCAAAATCCCCACACAGAACCTGAATTTTCCAGCAATTCCAACCCTGCTGTGCCCCCACAGCTCCTCAGCCAGCCCTGGTGCCTCTGGAGATCCCAAAAACCCCAAATCTGCCTCACTGACCAACAGCAGCAAAGCTCACTTGGCCCCTTTTTGCCCACATTTGCCCCCAGATTTTCTGCCAAGCCCAGGAGGCTGCACTGGAATTCGCTGGGAAGGAGAAATCCATTCCCCAGGGATCTGGGACTGCAGGGAGGAAGGTACAGCACAGGCACAAACCTTCCCAAGGAACTGTCAAACTGTTTGCAAAAAACTGGAGACAAGAAAGCTCTTGACTAGACAGGAAGGAGAAAATGAAGACATCAAAATATATAAATATATATAAAAAGAAAAAAATCAGGCTCTTTGGTGGCAGAGTGTTCTCTGCATTTACATTTCCATGGGAAGGCAAAACAGCAACTGGCAAAGGGAACGAGGGAGGACAGGAAAAAGCAGCAATACTTGAAAATAATAAGGAAAATTGAAAATATTTTTAAAAGTGTATTACCTGTTTGATTTTTTGAGCTCCCCACAGCTGTAAAAACAAAAGAGAACATTAAATGTAAAAAAACCCAGTGTAGTTTTATCCCAAATATTTCTCTTTTAACTGCTGTCATAAACAAACGCAAGGGATTGGGACAAAAATCTCATTTTCTGCAGCCCACCAGGATGGATTTAAAGGCCCTTTACACACCTGAGCTCCTTCCCACCTGCGTGGGCAGCGAGAGACAATATTAAACTTGCATTAAATGGGAAGAAAGAGCAAGAAGAGCCAGACTTCAGAGCTCTACAAACCCCAAATCCTCTGCTGCACCGAGATCTCAAGGCAAATTTAGCACAGCCTCTCCCTGGATGAGCTTCCTGCGGAAATCCAGCCCTGCTGGGGAACAAAGGTGGGGCAAACCCTGCAGGGAGCATGGGGAGCTCTGCAGATAAACCCTGGGCTTCCAATAAATAGAATAAACAGGCACCAGTTCTCATTTCTGACTGCACCGAGAAATGCTCGGGGAGAGGAAAAATCTCATTGAAAACTCTCACTGTTGCCTCCTGACAGCTCCAAAACCCCCAAATCTGGCTCAAAGTGAGGGCTGGAAGAGGAAGCATCCTCTGAGAGGTGCAGGAGGAGACAAGGAGGAGACAGCAAGCCCAGAGATGCCCTGGCACAGCCCCAGCCCCAGGGTTTGCCCTTCCTCTCCAAGGCTGAGGGGTTTCCTAAGCCTAAACTAAAACCTAAACCCAAATGATCACCTCCAAACACCCAAAGGCTGATGTGCATCACTCCAGGGATGGGTGGGAAGCCAGGGCTCTGAAATGTCCCAGCAGCTGCTGAGTTTTGCTGTTAAGAACTCACGTTCAGCCCCGAGGCCCCGGCTCCTCTCTCTGGGTTTGTTCTCGCCCCAAGTCCTTGGAGCTGCAAATCCACCCTTTAAGCTCCATTTCCATCTAAAAACCCACAAATTTTCCGTGAGCCAGGCTCCTGGCTGCTTCCCTGGCAAGGCTGCTTTGCCAATCTCTCCCCACCCTCGTGGCTCCTTCACTTCTCTCCAATTTGTCAACATCCTCTTGAGTGGAGGCCGCCAGGAACCGGGGGAATTCTTCCAAGGAGAGCTGTGCCAGGAGAACCTGGGGAGTTCTGCTCCTGCTGCTGCCACAGCCCAGGATGGTGATGGCTCTTTTTGGCTCATGATTTCCCCACCAAACCCACCCAGCCTGCACCTCAGGTGCTCACCCTGCTGAGCTCTGCATTGCCACGGTGTCCATTAACCCTCGCCCCCCACCCCAGCTTTGTCGCCAGTCCCAAATATAAATCCATTAAAATGCTGTTGGAATAAGGTCATTAATCTGCTGCAAACTGCATTAATTGACCCACCAATACCAACGACCCCAAATTTCACTCCCAGTTCATCCCAGGCTCCAAAATGAAGCTCTGTGATGAACTCCACTGCCTGTGATGAGGAACTGAAGGTCTAAATGTCACATACACATTGGAGTTTTCCTGAGGAAAAATTCCTTTCCAGAGGAAAATCATCATTCCCCCTTTCCCAGGTGGAAAACAGGGGTACACAAAGGACAATCCTGGTGCTAAAGACCAGGGGGCTCTAAATCCCAGCACCCAAAGGGAAGGAGGCTCCACAGCCACACAGTGCTGAGGTCTCTGTGTGCCCAGCAGCTGGAGACCTTCCACGGGGTGATTGTTCACCTGGAGAGGAATTCCTGGGGCTCCAGGAGCCTTCCCAGCCCATCCCAGTGCCCCCAGGGCTGCCCACATCCCTTTATGCAGGGTGGGAAACAGAACTGCGGGATTTTCCTCTCCAACTGCAGGCACTGACACCAGCAAAAAGGAAGAGGGATGCTTTCTGAGCCAGCACGAGGGCTTTTTTGGTCAAATTCTCTAATTTCATTAATTGATCCCAATATTTATGCCTTTCCCTGCTGCAGTGCAAATATTGTTAGAACACGCGGTTTCATTACTTCTCCAAAGAGACTTCACAAGATGCACCTGATGAGTCACCTCAGGATTCTGCCAGCTCATTTTCACTTCTTTCTCCTCTAATTCCTCTTCTGTCTGCAGCGTTTTCCAGCAGCTCCAGCTCCCTGACAGCCCTGCCAGCCCGGGCTGCTTTGGGAGAGCAGTCTGTGGGTTTGGGGGGATTTCATGCCTGCCCTGGAGGAACATCCATGCTCCCACCTCATCCCCCTCACTGGGAAACTGGGGAATCTGCTCTGGAGCTCAGGGAATGACACCCCAGATCCAGGCTGGGGTTCAGATTTCAGTCCAGGGGGGCTGGGTAGGACCAGGGGGAGCAGGAGGGTCCCCTGGGATGGAGCATTTCCCCTGGATGGCTCCACCTGGACCAGGAGCAGGAGGCTCTCCTGGGGTGGACATTTCCCCTGGATGATGGGAGCAGGAGGCTCTCCTGGGGTGGACATTTCCCCTGGATGATGGGAGCAGGAGGCTCTCCTGGGATGGACATTTCCCCTGGATGATGGGGCCAGGAGGCTCTCCAGGGATGGACATTTCCCAGGGAATGACCCCAGATCCGTGGTGGGGTTTAGATTTCAGCCCAGGGTGGCTGGGTAAGACCGGGTAGAGCAGGAGGGTCCCCTGGGATGGACATTTCCCCTGGAGGATGGGAGCAGGAGGCTCTCCAGGGATGGACATTTCCCCTGGATGATGGGAGCAGGAGGGTCCCCTGGGATGGACATTTCCCCTGGAGGATGGGAGCAGGAGGCTCTCCAGGGATGGACATTTCCCCTGGATGATGGGAGCAGGAGGGTCCCCTGGGATGGACATTTCCCCTGGAGGATGGGAGCAGGAGGGTCCCCTGGGATGGACATTTCCCCTGGAGGATGGGAGCAGGAGGCTCTCTGGGGATGGACATTTCCCCTGGATGATGGGAGCAGGAGGCTCTCTGGGGATGGACATTTCCCCTGGATGACGGGAGCAGGAGGCTCTCCTGGGATGGACATTTCCCCTGGAGGATGGGAGCAGGAGGGTCCCCTGGGATGGACATTTCCCCTGGAGGATGGGAGCAGGAGGCTCTCCTGGGATGGACATTTCCCCTGGATGGCTCAGAGCCCACAGGAGCTTTGTCCCCATTCAGCTTTGGGTGCTCCAGTATGGGATTGCACCAGGGGCTGGAGCAGTGTCATCCCAACATTCCTCCCTCCACCCCAGCAGGAGTGGCCCCTGTATCTCTCCCCTAGGGGAACCACAAGGGTCAGGTCAGGCTCTGCTCCATGGACATCCCTCATGGATGGGCAGGAATCAGCTCCAGGCTGCTCACAAGTGGTCTCAGATCCACCTTTTCAGGACTCATGGAAGAGATTTCCACCTGTCCTTTCCAGGATTCTGAATTTTCTGCAGTTTTTTTGAGGAAGAGTCACCACTTTTGTCACCACTTTTGTCACCACCTGGAGCAGTTTTAAAGCCCTGAGCTCGGGGTGGCAGCACAGGGAGGAGCTGGAGCTGCTGCAGAGTCCAGAGGAGGCTCCAGGATGAACCCAGGGCTGGAGCAGCTCTGCTGGGAGAGCTGGGATTGTTCCCCTGGACAGGAGAAGCTTTGGGGTGAGCTCAGGGTGGCCTTGCAGGACCTGAAGGAGCTGCAGGAAAGATGGAGAGAGACAATTTCCAAAGGATGGAGGGACAGGGCACAGGGAATGGCTCCCACTGGGAAAGGGGAGATTGGGCTGGGATCTTGGCAAGGAATTCCTGCCTGGGCTGGAATTCCCAGAGCAGCTGGGGCTGCCCCTGGATCCCTGGCAGTGCCCACGGCCAGGTTGGACACTGGGGCTGGGAGCAGCCTGGGACAGTGGGAGGTGTCCCTGCCATGGCAGGGGTGGCTCTGGGTGAACTTTGAGGTCCCTTTCATCCCAAACTGTTCCAGGATTCTGGGATTTTATGAACTCAGGAGCTGAGTTCAGTTATCCAGAAACATCCCCTCAAATATCATGGTGATGTTTAAGGCAGGGTCTCAAAGACCACCGGAATCTGAAGAGAACCAAAGCTGTGGTGAGGAGATGGAGACTGGAATAAATCTTGGGAATAGATGTGATCTTTGCTTGTCAGGACATTCATTAGCAATCCTTATTTAGCAGCAGAATTGCAGCTTAGAGATAGTTTAAAAAAATAAAAAAGAATTTATTTAAAGAATCCATCCAGCCCCAATCTCTTCCCCAACACCTGTCACTATAAAAACAGCACGGAGGGTTCCAGTTCTCCTTAATGGATGAGCCTCCTCCTATTAAACACAGGAACATTTCACAGTCCTGCACTCAGAGACAGCAATTTATTTGTCACCCTCTCCATAAAAAATCTTCTGCCCTGTTTCTAATCCAAACTAATCCTCCTTCAGCTTCAAAGCACCTGGTGCCACCCTCTGAGCACTGATCCTCAATCCATGGGTGCCTGCTCCAGCTATGCCAGCCAGGAATAACTGCCTGGAGAAAAGCCCTCATTGATTAATCACTCATTAATCACTCATCATGACAAGGCACAATTACAGACAAAGAACTAATTAGGAGTCACGGGCTGGATGAGCACAACGTGGAAAGGAAAACCCAGAGGTTTAAGTCCTGCAGAGAGCCCTCAGTGGGGTCTGCCCGGGCTGGACTTTGCACCATTACACAACAAACCCCCTCTGTAAGGACAAGGTTGGAGAGGAAATCATTGAAAAACCAGTAATTTTAGTTAATTATTTCATCTGTCCAGCCAGTTCTGTTTCAAAAGCCGTTCCCATCCTGCTCCAGCAGCGATGTTCTCACCTCCCAGCAGGCCCCCCTGCACCCAGGAAATGCAGATTTTAACGAGGTAACAGCCGGCACTTTGCACCCCGTCAGGAGCTGCCAGTGGTTTCACACCCCGGGGCTTGTGAGGTTTTATTAAAGCACAGCTCGGATCACCCAGCCCACGCTGAATTCCAAATATTGGGTGGTGCAGAACGTGGGATGCAGCCCAGCTCCTCCTGGAGCGCTCCCTTCCTGTGCCCTTGGGAGGGCAGCCTCCAGTCCAGATGTGCTTTCCCAATAATCCCA